AGGACAGATTGAAGGCAAAGAGGGATAGAGAAAAACAACGCATAACCTACCTAGCAAATATAGAGAAAATGGAAAGAAAAAGAACACTTATACTTAACATCAGGAAGAGACCGTTGAAATTTCTAGGGCACATAATGAGGAAAGAGGGCCTGGAAAATTTGATACTCACAGGACAGATTGAAAATAAGACAGGCAGAGGAAAGCAAAGTATAACCATCCTGGCGAGCTTAAGTGAACAGATGGCGGAACAGTGTGTGGGATAGATGGGGAAAAGAGCTTCATGGTACAGGACATTGTGGAGAGTCATGATCGCTAATTTCCAGAGGGAACACTGCACATAGAAGAAGAAGAAGAAGATGAAGAAGATTAAGAAGAAAAAGAAGATGAAGAAGAAGAAAAAGAAGATGATGAAGAAGAAGAAGAAGAAGAAGAAGAAGAAGAATACATCTGCTTTTAGCCAAACTTTGACGAAATGTAAAAATCAATGTAATTTAAGATTTTCATTTCTAACGCTAGAATTCGAATTAAATATAGCTTGTCAACGGTACTTTTTCCGAAGAAACGCTTATTATATAATTTGATATCACAGGGTATGAATTATGAAACATCTCGTAAAATAATAGCAACAATAATTTAATTATTTTTTCTGTTACTGCTACCGTTATACTCCGAGTACTAGTCCACGTAACAAACAAAGCATCAGCAATCAATAATATAATAATCAGTTCATAAAATCACTAATACTCTAAAATTACAAACAAGAAGAAAACAATTCCGGTAATCAATAATAGAATTATGCTATGAATAAAGAAATATCTGCTTTTTTTTCTCTTATGTTTTATTGGAGGTAGTTAGAGCCACGGAACGTGAAATCGACAATCCTAGTTCAAATTCCAGCTGAGATCATTATCGTATTTTCTAGTCCATAATACGAGAAATTTTAAACGAAAACTGAAGGCAAGAAAAACAAAAAGGTTGAGATCGTATTATATTCAAGTACACATTCACAGAATTTTTTACTCGGCTCAAAAAACAACACTTATTTGGAACAACAAGATAGCAACTGCACTCAGCATTGAATTTAAGCTCAGTACTAGATTGTCAGCAAGGTCTCATCCTTTTACAGTTGAAATGCTTAGATGTAACCGCAAGTTCTATGTTAACATTTTCTTCTTTCGCACTTCCCGCTTATCGAACTCTCTTTCGGCTTCTCGCTTCCCAGTCAACTTTGAAATCCAAGAATTTAAATGCAATGTCAATCGTTATCTTCCATCTTCTTCATTCTTCTTCTTTTATTGTTCTCTCCCCTTAATAATATTTTTATCCTGATATTCTCTAACACTCAGTAACGTCTTGCGTCTTAGTGGCTTTATTGCCTTACTTAGGGTGAAATGATTAAAACAAGCACACTAGGAAATAAAACACAAAATAGGTAGTATTGATTACTATTGTAGACGATAATGGGTATGTCCCCCCTTTCAAATTATTACAGTAGTAAATACTGTATGTTGGTCTGCAGTCGGAGATTTGTCTCCAGCTGAGCTGGTTAAACTCTCTGCCTCCGGGCAGAGAGGATCCCCAGACGAGGCTCCGTCGAAGGGCAGAAAACAGACAGAAGAGATCTATTGCCCTGAGTCATAAATAATTTCCGTTTTTCTTTCTCATTTTTATTCTTCAAACAAACACAGTACAATTCCATTCTATACAATTATATATTCACCATTAAATGGAAAGAGTTGGGCACTTTGGCGTGATGTAATGGTTAACAAGCTAAATCAATTATGACATTAGAGTTCAATTTTCACAGTCTTGTTCCGTATTTTCGGCCTTGTGCCACATCTAAACTACGCTTTTAATATATCATATGCAATATAGATTTTGAGTAAAACAAGGATCACAATGGAGGCATAAAATCTTAGGAAACTGTGCCAATGCTGAATGGTCGGATATGTGAAATAAGGAACGGAAAGGGTGAACAATAACATTCTAGGAATATGCGAATTGAGTTGTTTTTTACGGCTTGTCAACCTTTTTGCGTGTTATTTAAAACCCGATAATGATTTTAGATGGTAAAAAACGCATAAGTAGAAAGTAGTGTGACGTGTAAATGATCGCCATTTCTACTCTATCCTCTATTACTATTCGGATCACCATTTCTCGTCTATACTATCTGTCAGTCAGTTATGTGCTTAGGTGATCATGTATCTTTCGATAGATGACTGACGAGGCAGATTTTTTCCACATTAGGTTGTCAGGTAGACCAGTTATACAATCCTACTATTTACTCATATAAAAGTGGGTGGGGGAGAGGGAGGATTCATAAATTATTAGTATTAGTACGTAAGTGAATGTAATGGATTTGACTGGAATTCGAACTCGCCTCTTCGATTTCTCAATCCGTGCCGCTATTCATTACTCCACCGTGCTTCTAATATTATACGGATCATATTACTATTCTATCCTCCATTACTATTCGGATCGCTATTTCTATTCTATCCTCTATTCGGATCGCTATTTCTATTCTATCCTCTATTTGGATCGCTATTTCTATTCTCTTCTCTATTACTATTCGGATCGCCATTTCTATTCTATCCTCTATTAATATTAGGATGGCCGTTTCTCTCCTATACTTTATTAATATTCGGATCACCATTTCTATTCTATCCTCTATTAATATTAGGATGGCCATTTCTCTCCTATACTTTATTAATATTCAGATCACCATTTCTATTCTATCCTCTATTAATATTAGGATGGCCATTTCTCTCCTATACTTTATTAATATTCGGATCACCATTTCTATTCTATCCTCTATTAATATTAGGATGGCCATTTCTCTCCTATACTTTATTAATATTCGGATCACCATTTCTATTCTATCCTCTATTAATATTAGGATGGCCATTTCTCTCCTATACTTTATTAATATTTGGATCACCATTTCTATTCTATCCTCTATTAATATTAGGATGGCCATTTCTCTCCTATACTTTATTACTATTCGGATCACAATTTCTTCTCTATTACTATTTGGATCGCTATTTCTATTGTATCCTCTATTACTATTCATATGGCCATTTCTATTGTATCTTTTATTACTATACTTACCGCTATTCTCTACTCTATTCACTATACTATTTCTCTATTCGGATCACTATATGGATTACTATTCGAGCGAGTATGATCAAACAAGTACTATTAGTGCGAGTGATATTCGAAGGCGTCTGACACTAGTATTGTTCAACGGCGTTATGTGCCATGCGTGATACACGCTTAGGCAATCATGTATCTTTCGATACATGACTGACAAGGCAGATTTTTTTCCTGCAGTAGGTTGCCATTTCTTTCTGCGGTAGACCAGTTGCTATTCAAGGCTATAGAACCCGATCTATCATGCTATTTACCCATAGCTTGGGAGAGAAGAAGAGTATTCATACTTTTTCCAAGAGTATTAATCCTCTTCTCCGGCGTTACCATAGTTATATTTGCGATCAAGTCTCTGCTCCAGCGAGCATTTCGAAAGTGACAATGAGTATTCGTTGACATCACAAAACTTACGTAGGAAGATAAATTTAGAAGAATTTATATAGGAAACTGGACCCTATATTAGCTTATATTAATCAAATTGGAAATTAATTAAATAATTATTGTTATAAAATTTAATAACATTTTTTTTTGTATATTTGTGATCTTGAGGGCTTGATCTATAGTCATATAAAAAAAAAATCATCAAAATATCTAACCAGGTATGTCTCCAGTTATTTTCACACCGACGTGACGTGGCTACCCTCTGTCTTTTCTACAAAACTATTTTCATGCCAACTGCTCGGATGAGATTTTTTTCCCCTACTGCCTCGACTACACGAATTTAAACGTCACTAAACTGGCAACTAGGTCTCACCGTTTTACTGCTGAACTAGATGCAACCGCCACTTCTATTCGAACGGTTTTTTTCTCGTACTTCTCACCTGTGAAACTTCCTTCTGATTTCCTGCTTTCCTGATAACTACAAACTTTAAAAATTTAAAATGCAACATCAACTTTTTTGTTTTCTTGAACCCTCCTCCTTTTTTTATCCTTTCCTCAATGATCCCTATTTTCAATGTTCGCGTTCTCTTTCACTTTAACTCCCTGTAAATAATTGCGTCTTAGTGGTATCGTCGTCTTGCTTGGGGTGAAGCGATTCAAAAATAAAATAAAATAAACAGCCTAAGCGCAGACACATTTTACATTGATAAAACCTTTCGTAAGGTATGAGCTGTGCTTGTGAGTACATTTTTCATATTTCTTTAAGGCATGGATGGGCTAACATGGATTTCTTCAATGAATCTATCAGAACCAATTTCAGTCAAAGAGTGTATTATTATTATTATTATTATTATTGTTGTTGTTGTTGTCGTTGTTATGTGAAGTAGTAGTAGTAGTAGTAATAATAATATTAATAATAATAATTTGATAAAATGAACAGAATATAGGGAAGACGCACAGAAAACGAAAAAGAAGTTGGTCAGGAAGAAAGAGATGGAAGAAAAGAATGGACAATAGTCTATAGAAAAGGGGGAGAAAATAGTAAAGGTGAGAAGGAATAAGAGAATAGAAAAGAACGACATTGATGAAAAAGAAAAAGACACAAACACACAAACACACACAGAGATACACAAACACCCCTCCCCCACACATAAACCCCCCAAAAAAACAAAACAAAACAAACAAAAAAAAAAAAAAACGGAGAAAGATGATGATGGTCATAAAGTAAAAGAACTAAAAATGAAAAGCCAAAGTTGAAGAAGAACGGAGATCGCGAAGAGAAAGAAAACGAGAGATGCAAGGAAGAAGAAGAAAAACGATTTGGGAAAAGAAAAAAAAAAGGAAAAAATGAAGAAAGGCAGAAGGAAAAAGAAAAAAGAGAAAAAACTGAAAGAAGAAAAGTGAATGTTGAATCCCTTCAATGAATCTATCAGAACCAATTCCAGTCAAAGAGTGTATTATTATTATTATTATTATATGAAGTAGTAGAAAAAAGAAAGAAGAAGAAAAAAGACTAGAATAGTACGAAGAAAGAAATGAAAGAAAAAGAAAGACAATGACAGACGAGAGAAAAGATGAGAAATAAAAATGAATATTATGAGGAAGAAAAGAGAATGAATGTTGTATAGAAGATGAAAAATTAGAAATAATTTAAAAATGAATGATGAAGAAGAAAAAACAGAAAACAGGATATAGGGAAGAAAAAGACGAAGAAGAAGATTACTAAAAAATAAAATAAATAAATAAAAGGAAGACTGTGACAGAGAAAAAGAAGAAAGGGAGAAAATAAATGAATGTCCGAAGAAAGAAGAAAAAGAAAACTAGAATAGAAAGAATAAAGAATTTAGAAAGGAAGGAAAGACGGCGAAGAAGAAGACAATAGAGAGAAAGAAAAGAAAGAAAATGGATGTTATGAGGAAGAAGAGAAATAAGATTAGAACAGAAAGAATTTAAAAATGAATGATGATAAAGAAAAATAGACAAAACAGGATGACGGGTTACAAAGACGAAGTAAAAAAAAAAAAAGAAAGATAATGATGTTTATTTGGCAGAAGAAAAACAAGAAAAAGAAGGGAAAAAAGTAAAAGAAAGATAATGGTGTTTATTTGGAAGAAGAAGAAGAAAAAGAAAAAGAAGGATAATGGAGTTTATTTGGAAGAAAATAGACAAAGAAGGAAAAAAGTAAAAGATAGATAATATGGATGTTGAAGAAGAAGAAGAAGAAGAAGAAGAAGACGGGAAAGAAAAAAAGGAAAACAATGGTAGTGAGATTTTTTGAAAAAAGAAGTGGGCAAAAAAAAAAAGAAAAGAAAAGAAATATATTGATATTTATTTTGAAGAAAAAAATAAGAGAAAGCTGATGATTATTTGGAAGAAGAAAAGAACGATGATGCTTATTTGCAAGAAGAAAAAAGAAAGAAAAAAGTAAAAGAAAAATAATTATATTTATACTTGGAAGAAGAAAACAGAATGAAAAAAATAAAAAAGATGTTTATTTGGAAGAAGGAAAAAGTAAAAAATGATGTTTATTTGGAGGAAAAAAACGGCAAAGAAAGTAAATGAAAGATAATGATGTTTACTTGGATAAAGAAAAAGAAGGAAAAATTAAAAGAATGATGATATTTATTTGAAAGAAGAAAAAGAAAAAAAACAGAAAAAAAGTAAAAGAAAAATAATGATATTTATACTTGGAAGAAGAAAACAGAATGAAAACAAATAAAAGATGTTTATTTGGAAGAAGAAAAAAGAAGGAAAAAGATGTTTATTCGGAAGAAGAAAAAAGGCAAAGAAAGAAAATGATGCTTACTTGGAAGAAGAAATAGAAGGAAAAAAGCAGAAAAAAGATTATATTTATTTGGAAGAAGAAAAAAGAGAAAAAAGGAAAAGGAAGTAAATGAAAGATAATGATGTTTATTTGGAAGAAGAACGAATAAATCCGGAAAACATAAAATATAGATAAAAAGAAATATGTCGCATAGCAAAGATTTTGGTTTCATATATAATCGAAACGTAATATGGTAAATTGTTCGCAGTGGTTAGAGGCGGAATACGAACGAAGAATCAGTCGTAGGAGAAAAATGGCGATGATATACGCAGTGAGTTCTCTGCACTAACTCCAATACAAAAATAAATAACCATAAAATGAAATATTGACCTGAAGTCACGGGTGGGAGATCGTTAGGGCTGCACATAATGAAGTCGAGCTTAATGTCCGGCGTCTAGCATTGGACAATATCTCTCCGTCTTCACTTTCCCTTTCGACTTCTTCGTGATGAATAAGCTAAGTAAAGCAGGAGCACTTAGCGGGGACAAGTGTTTCCGGAGCTGATTTCCATCTTTCGATCCTGTTCCAATGTAGGCGTAAATAAAGGAAATACACCCAAGCACGCAGATCTATCTATCTATCTATCTATCTGCGTACAGTACCGACGCAGGAAGAAAGAAAATCAATGTTATAAGTTTAGAAGAATGAAAGAAGATAGAATTGAAAAAGAATTGAAAGTTAATAAATGAAAGTGCAAAAGGAGAGGAAAATAAAAGAAAGAGAACAAATGCTATAACGAAGAAGAAAATAAGATTAGAACAGGAAGATTTAGAAAAATATGAAGAAGAAAAAGAGAAAACGGGAGAAATATGAAGAAGAAAAAATATTGAAAAATAGGAAAAAATATATAAAGATATGAAATAAAATATGGAAAAAAATGTATAAAAATATGTGAAGAAGAAAAAATATGAAGTAAAAAGAGAAAACAAAAATGATAAAAAGAGAAAACGGGAAAAATATGAAGAAAAGAGAATTAAAAAATGTGAAGAAGAAAAAAGAGAAAAATATGAAGAAGAAAAGAATGAAAATATGTGAAAAAAGAGTAAAAACATAGGAAGAAATAAAGAATTAAAAATGTGAAGAAGAAAATGATAAAACGGGAAAAATATGAAGAAGAAAAGAAAGAATTAAGAAAATGTGAAGAAAAA